ACACACACACACACACACAGAGAGAGAGAGAGAGAGAGAGAGAGAGAGAGAGAGAGTTTCCCCCGTTCTTTCGCTGACGTGCAGCCCACAGCCTCAACAACCAGGGCCACCCCCTCGGCCTCAAGCTCCTCGACCTCCTCCTCCACCGCGAGCCGCCGCGCACCCAGCTCCGGCCCCTCAACATCATCACGCTGCTCCACTTCATCAAGCAGAACCTCTGGCAGCACCTCTTTGGCCGCCAGGCCGACCGCCTCGAGAAGAGCGCCAACCCCGACACGCCCGACGAGTACATGATTGTCGACAACGAGCCGCTCGTCAACCGCTTCGTCAGCGTGCCGCGCGAGCTGAGCCAGCTCAACTGCGCCGCCTTTGTCGCCGGCATCGTCGAGGGCGCCTGCGACGGCGCCGGCTTCCCTGCCCGCGTCAGCGCGCACAGCATCAAGGCGCCCGGCAAGGAGGAGGCCGAGCTCTGGCCGGGCCGGACGGTGTTCCTGATCAAGTTCCGCGGCGAGGTCGTCGAGCGGGAGGGCTTCCTGAAGCAATAAGCGCAGCAGAGAGCGGCGCAGCAAGGGGCACAACCGATGGGAGACGGAGTGCTGCAAAGGAGAGGGGCCTGCGGGCTCGAGGAGGGCATTGGTTTCGGCGTTTGGGAGGGGCGTGTCTTTGGCGTTTCTTGTCACGTTTGTCAAGAGGTCATTGGTTTCATGGGTGCTGTCCAGTCTATCCCGCTGAGGCAGCTGAAAACATTCTGATTCCGATGTGTACTGTTCAAGCATTCTGCCTTCTGTCGTACCTTGTGATGCGTATCCCTATGCTCGGCCCGCAACCCATCGCGGCCAGTCCCGTCCGAAAGATCCTAAACGCCTCGCTCCGAAATCATACACTCTCCCGCCTGCAATCCTGGCCACTGCAAGAGTGGGAGGTCACCGCGGCATCTTCCTCTTCCTCTCGCCGCTCCTGGGCCCCTGCGCCATGAGCGCCCCCAGTCCGAGGTCCTTCCACGTCGCCTCTTTCTTGGCCTGCGTCGCTTTCGTGATGCCGAACGCCGCGTGCTGGTCGGGCACCACGTCGTCCTCGTCCTCCGGGTTGACGGGCTGCAGGTGCGCCGGCACGTAGACCTCGTCGTCGGGCAGGCGGTCCTTGCAGAAGTCCTCGAAGAGGTCGGCGTCACCCGCGCGGTGCAGGTGGACGTGGGTGTGCGTCGCGTCTTTGTTCTGCGGGCGAGGGTCAGCATGGTTCTTTGCGGCAAGGGGACATGCGGCAGGCCAGCGACGCACCATCTTGTGGAGCTGATGGTGTTGAGCAGGAATCTTGGAGGGTTGGTTGAACGTCCAGAGAAGACAACGGGTCAAAGGGAGTTGGTCTGAACATGCCAAGCCGAATCGTAGTGTTGCTGGTGCTCCCCGCCATTTCAGGGCCCGTGCGTCGGCCTCTACATCGACATCATCGCCAGCCTGAGGAACTCGCACTCACAGTAGGAGGGTACGTCTAGATACCAGAGTCTTTGTTATTTCCTCCAGCATAATCACCGACTATCTTTCAACCTTCTGATCTCAACAGACAAACTGCTGTCCTCGTTCCTCCAAACACCCCCCCGGCCCACGACAACACACTTGACCTGCACCGGATTCATCATCCTCGCAGCAAGGGCCCAGACCTCTTCCTGACGAAGAAGAATCTCCTCCCGCGCCGCGCAGATCAAAGCCTCGCACGACCCGCTGGACCGTGAAACACACGATTCCTTCGGCACCAGGAGCGACCCTTCTCTATCATGCCAAGCCCCGTAGACGGCGGGACAATCTGGCGGCGCTGGCCCAGGAATCTACTCTCACCACATCAGTCGAGCAGTCAAGGTAGGAATGGATGAAGAAGGTACTGACCGAGGGCGACGAACAGCTCCATGCAGAGTCCGCGGAGGGTACGAAGCCTGGGAACGGCCTGTCTGGCGAGGGAAAGAAGCGCGACGCAGGCCTGAACGGCTTGACGGTGGGATCTGCTGACTCTGCGGCTCGTGATGTGGCCAGGGGCGTGCAGGTCGCAAATAAGGGTGCCATGGTGACGAGAAGCAATCTGGAAAAGGAGGCAAGGCGCATCATGGGCTGTCGCCTGTGGCTTCGATGGGCTCTGTACACGGTTGCTTCACGCTGTTGGTGATGCTTTTCTGAGAATGATCCGCATGAGGTGATCATATGCTGAGATCCTCACACACGCACTTGATTTTATGCCTTCTCTATAATCACCATCTCGAAGCATGTTTGATGCCATCAAGGTACAATGGATCCTCATCCGCTGACCAGGTTCACGGCTTCAGGCCGTGTGGCGAGGCAACGTGACAGATCACCAAAGATGCCCATATGACTGTTTGGCCTCACTGGACAACATTGAGTGTTGAACACAAACAACCACAACATCACAGTCGTCACAAAATCACCGAGGCCATGCTCCCAGATGTGACACCCCGCAGTCACTTACACTAGGAGTACCAGCAGTCACACATACAGGAACCGCAGTCTGCACGCCGTAACACCTAGAGGGCAAGCCGATCCCAGCTCGGGCGCGTGCCCGGTCCAGACGAGGTCCTCCTCGACAACAGCCAAGAAGAGAGAAAGGGATCATGTTACGTCCACGGAGACGGCCCGAGACCCAGCGCCAAAGGACATTTACGGCACCCAGCCAGGGAACGCCTTGCATGAACCTCTACGGTCCAGGGACCGCCTTCCCAAAGTCAGACCCAACGCCTCGAAATCAAATCACCTTTTCGGCTTCGACAGGGTCCCAGATCCTTGTGATTGGAAAGCCTCCCGCCCATACAAAACAAACGTAGACAAACAAGTAACCCTTCCCATCGAGAAACCCTGTGTGAGACCTCTATTGTCAGGCGTAGCCATGATCCTGCTGAGCGCCGCCTGCGTCGCGCAGCGTCACAATGGCAACGTCAAAAACGAGAACCATGGACGCCCTCACCACCAATGATGTCAAGAGTACAGCAGACAGGGACGCCCGTCAAGCTTCGCTCGCTCGCCACTTGGTCACGGGCGTGGAGCCAGGTCGCACCAACCTCGATCTGCAAACACAACCAACAGCTTTGCAGGAGCGCCGGCTCCCCCATTTGTGCATCCCGTGCGCCCCCGACAACAAGCTTTGTGGCTCCCTGATACTGCCGATCCCCTACAGGCAGTCCAGCAGCAACCACACCAATGTCGTCGTCCATACACCCCCGATGACCTGGGCGTGAGCGACCTGGTCACTCACGACTTGGTCAACTGGGCATGCATTTCCAAGGGGGGCGCAAGCCCAGCCCTGTTTTGCGTGGCTCGACTCTCTCACTTCAGGAAATGATCTGACCCTCGGTGCAAAACAACAACCTGCAAACTCGACCACACAAGAACTGTGTGCGGGCCAAACGTGCCCATCGGCTAGAGAAACACATATCCTCAGTCAACGTACAAAGGCCACTGACACCCATTACTCGCAAACATGAGCCCAAACTAATCCTCAAACCCCCGGTCCGCGCCCTCGACCCAACGGTGCAAAAACCCCGGAAGAAGGCTAGGCCGCCGAAGCGAAAGCGGTGTGGTACGTGTACCTTCGCAGCGGCGCGGTCATCCCTCCATCGGCCCAGGCCCAGGCTAGATTTTGGTCGGGCAGAGGCCCAGCCAGCCCCTTGGACCAGCCAGCCAGGCATTCCACTTCCACAAGAAGTAAAGAAACCTTCCTTTCTAGAACGCCAGCGGGTGCTGGCTGGCCCCCCAGCTCGTGGCTCACGGGTGATGCCGAGTCTTAGCTCGGCTGATGGTCAGCCGGACGTATCATTTGGTGGGAGAGCAATCGAGGCATTCACTGTCGCGCTAGGGCAACACAGTAAAGGAAAGATCCGTCGTGGATGTTGCATTGAAAATGTGACTGAGTCTTCAGACTCGGGTCCTCAGCTCGGCTAGCCCATGATAGTAGTTCTTAATACGGTTTATCATAGAGAGGATGGGCGAGAATTCGTTATCGACACTCACTCACACACATCCACACACACGTCCGTACAAGACCTGGTGGGGAAGGTTGCAAGAACGCAGGAAGGGAATTGAACGACGTGTACCCAATCCTGACCCCCGACCCGACATGAATGCTGTGTAGTGACAGAACATGTGTCAGCGCTGATTCGCCCAAGCTACTGACGCGCGGCAGGTCTGCGAATGGCTTCGTCTTCCCCCGCACGAAGACGGCGAGGGCGACGACGACGTTGGGGCGCAAGTTAAAATGGGGGTTGGCAAGGATCAGAGTCAGCCCGTCTAGGGTCCCTTCTGCACAGGGTCACTGCTGGGTGCCTTTGCGAAGAACGGGGAATCATGTGTCCTTCCAACGAAGCGAGTCAATGGGAGCAGAGCTGGGCTGAGGCATTTCAGCAACGAGCTTCTGACTTCCTCCCCGTTCATTTTCGGAAGGCGTCATGTTGACCCGCGATACGTCAACTTTGAATAATGACAGCTTGAGTCGTCGACGTCAAACAAGTCAATGCGGACACGGATGTTTGGTTTGGAACATGCTCAAAAATAGGTCACGTCAGATTTTTCCTTCCCTCTGATCTCCAGTGTGTCTTACGCCTGGCTGCCATGCCAAGACGATGCTCTGTGTTTGACAGGATTCGGGAGAGAAGAAGAGGGGGGTCACGTGAAAATGCGGTGTTGGCGATGCATCTGGTATCAAGGGACCAACGATGAACGGATGTGGCGACGAGCCACGAGGTGTGGCAGCCCGCGGGGGTTTCTCCCGAAGTGCCTACTAGCGAGAGCGGACGCTGAGATGCCCGCAAAACAAGCGACACGGATCCTAGACGCCCCCCCCCCTTGACTCCCAGCTGGCCACCATGGCTTGCTAAGGTCAGAAGACAGAGGGGTTCGTGAGGGGCCTCGGGTGCGCCCCCCCAAAGCCTCCAGATTGTTGGTTCTGGCGCAAGGTGCCTGCATTAGCCCGAGAGTGACTTGGGCTGCGGGCACGAGGCCAGGTTGTTCCGTCCAGTCCTGGTGAAGCAATGCTGAAAGGACTGGGGAAAAACGCAGTGCAGTGCAGAGGGCCGGAAACAGGCTTCAGGTGGACCACTTGGATGTCGCTTTGAGGCGATGGCAATGCGTGAGGTGTTTTCGTCATGACAGCCAGGACCCAGATCAACGGCTGGCAGCTGGCGATCCGAGTCATTCGTACAATTCGTACAGCACCCGTGCGGTGGGAGCCCTTCCCGAAAAAAACACGAAAATGCGAGGGCCTGCGTGTCTGTCAAGTACCAAACTCTAATGAGGATGCGCGCGCCTCCCCATGTGCACGCGTCTTGCTCTTCCGTCACGTCTTGATTGAGGGACATGGCCGCCGTGGTGGCTGTCGATGCCTGTCTGCCGATGCCCTGCCGGTCACGGTTTGAGGAAGTAAAGCGAAATGCTTTTAATCTCTTTGACTCCCCATCTCTCTGGCTGCCTCCAGTACTGTCATAGCGATGCGACGTGGGCGAACAGCGCGCGAGGAGCGAGTCGGGGTTTTTTGGGACCCATGCCAAGGCACGGCACCCTCTTTTACTCGTTTGGGACAAGCATTGCGTCCGTCTTCAAGCCGATCAGCCGTCCTGCGTACCATGTAGCCATGGCGTGGTCCGTTCGACGTGGTCGTTGTCCTACTTGCACTGTGTTAGCTCATGCTGCAAGAACATGAATCGGTCGATGGCTTGAGCAGTGTTTGTGTTTGCATGGTGGTAAGATTGATTTGTTTTCGTGTGGATTATGCCGCGAGGCAGGCCGGTCAACATGACAGGAGACTTTGAGCGAAAAAGCATGGTGATTGATTGAATGATGCCATGACCTGAAGAATGCCCCCGGACGACGGATGGATAAGAAGGAAAGTCGACCAGAGCTAAGGATGCAGAACGTGGGAAAGCAGTGGGTGGGAGAGTGCTTCGCTTCAGGCTTGGCTTTCTCTTGCTCTCTCCGGCTCTTACTCGTGTTCTTCCTTCTGTTGGTGCTGTTCGGCGACGCCTCCCCTACTGCATCCAGATAAGCTCAATGCGGGCAGGCCAAAAAAGGCCTTGGCTGATGGGTACAAGTACTTGTACCATGTACAGGTACAGCAGGCGCGTGTGGCCGTGGCCATGGCCGAGGAGAAGAGAACGAGCGAGCGGGCGGGCGAGGATTTGGCACGACCAGGACGAGAATGGCACAGGGCAGGGGAGCAAGTGAAATGGCGGGAGCAAAATTGAGTGCTGAGAGCAGCGGATCCCGCCGCCAGGGCCAGTCCAGACGGTGGGCTCTCATTGGTACGAGAGCCTCCCGTGCGCCTCTGGTCTTGCCCCGAAGCAGGCTAGCACGCTTAGCGCAGCCGCTGCTCTGGTGCGTGCTGCATGTTGGGGAAGTCCCTCCCTGGTGGCAACGGCTGCAGAAAGGGACTTGCCGGGTTGGCGCGCGGTGGGTGGCAGCTAAGAGCTTGGGTCTCTTGGCCGAGAGCTTGGCCTGTGGCTGCTCTCGATGGCGTGGGCCCGGGGGGCAGAGACAGAGAGGGACAGGGAGGAAAGAGAACGAGAGAAAGAGAGAAAGAGAGAAAGAGGCCGTCCTGGGGCGTTCTGGCCGACTGGCGTTGCACTGGTGCCCAGGCGCTCTTGCCGAAGACGGGCTCTGGGGCTGGGGCTGGGGCAGGTCTTTTTGGCACATGCTTCTCTCCACGGCTCTCTCTTGCCACCTTGTGACCTGTTCCATGTCTTGCTTGAGGGGAGGAGGAGGGGGGGGGGGTTCTGATGGTGGTGAGGTTGGAGGCAGGACGAATTGAAGATTGAAAATTGAAACGGGCGAGGAATGGTTTGGCTCTTGGGGTACCGAGCACGAAATGCCGCAGTATCGCAAGCCGAACAATTCGACGGTTCAGCACGAGATGGCAGAGCGATTGCATTATCTCTCACTGCATGCATCTCACCTCACTCCAAGAGCCTTTCTCTCGAGGTGCATGAGCTCGAAGGTTATCCCTCCCACCCTACCCTGTACCTACCTAGATACCCTGTGTCAATGTGAACCCACCTCGTGCTCAGAGGCACCAAACACAGTGGGCATCACCAGCCCATCACCGCCTGGACCAGTCATGGCTCGTGGCCCCCGCCTGCCCCTGCTACCGAGACGACCCCTTGCGCCGGACCCCAGACGATGCCCCCCGGTTATCTGCCCATTTGCCCATTTGCCCATTTGCCCGTCGCCTCTGGCCTTGGCTGGACTGTTCCACTGTTCTTTCTCTCCTGAGTCCTGGTCCTGACTAGGTACATGTACCTGGCCTGGGTACCTAGCCCAAGGTAGGACTAGGAGGTCTACATGGTACTTGGTACTCACCACCCACCACCCACCACACACAGTACGGCAAATGCTACGGCCAATCTCCCCCCTTGCACTTGCACTTGACTTGCCCCAGGACTTGCCTGGCGACTTGCCTGGCGACCTCCTCCCATTAAAACCATCGTGATACCTCGAGCCCTCCCAGACTACGCAGCCTTCCCCCCTCTCTCTCCTCGTCCATCTGCCTGGCCGTCCAGCTCGCATTTATACACCCGACACTCCTTCCAAGCCGGTCACCTTCCTCGCACATTCGTGTTTGTGGAAACTGTTGAGGACGTCGTCTTATCCTGCCTCTCTCACTACCAAGGCACAGCCCGCTCTGCCCCCCCCCGTACAGACGCTCGGACTTGGCATTCGCAACTCTCGCGATCACCCAATCGACCTCGCATTCGCGTTTCCACGTTTCTCCTCGCAATCTTTCTCTCCTGACCACTGCATCCGACAAACCGATCCTTCGACGGCAGCATTTCTTTCTTCCTTTTCAGGACTGGAAGTCTCATCGATTTGTCCCGGATTCCTCAGTCTCTCCATTGCGTCTGGTCCACCAGCCTCTCCCTCTACCTGTCTTTCTCGCTCTGCATCGAGACACGAGGTAAGACACCGCCCCTTTCACCTGCCTCTGCCGTGACCGGCACTAGTGAACACAAAGCTGACCAGTGCCGTCCCTCTAGCCCTCCCAAAGTCGCTGTCCCTGACACAGTCGTCCCCAAAAGGAGTGCCCAGACGATCCCGTTGCACCTCCCACGCCCACTACACGGAAGCGGACTCGCCGACCTCCTCGCTCGCGTCACCCAGCATTCCACTCTCCGCCCCCTTTGGAGACCCTTAAACCCACGACTCAGCCGACCGTCATCTCAACACTGCGTGTCTGCCCCCAAACCACACTCGTCAACAACATCCTCATCACCACCACCAACACCGCGTCCTTCAGCCGTACCAGTACAATGGCCTATCCCACTGATGACAAGGCGGCCCCGAGCCACAGCTACGAGCCTGTTCAGGACCTCGCCCTGCCCCCAAAGGCTGCCACCGTCAAGACGACCGAGGCGACGCATGGCTCCTCGCCTGCCTCGTCTACGAAGGAGAAGATCATCGAGCTCCGCCGCGACAGCATCCCCTCAACGCCACACTCCCTTCGCAATGACAACCCCTTTGACACGGATGTCGAGGCCATGATCACCACGACCAACACAAACAATAACAACAACATGTCGCGCAAGTGCACCACCACCATCTCCAAGGCCGATTGCCCCTCGGTCTGGCCTGGCAAAGAGCATTGGAAGCAAAAGGCCAAGACGGCCAAGCGCAACCGTCACAACACGTGCAACTGCCTGGCCCACCTCAGCAAGCGCAACCGCATCATCGCCAAGATCCTCATCGGCCTGTTGATCGTCGGCATCGCCGTCGGCGTCGGCTTTGGCGTCAGCAAGCCTCTGGGCGCACCCATCTGGGGCGTCAAGGACGACGAGAAGAGGTAGATGATTCGAGGGGTCATGATTTGTCTATCATTTCCGTCTTGTCATCTTAATTGTCTAAATGGGTGTTGCTGCATTGTCCGGTAGGCATACCGTTCCGGCGTTCAATAGGGTTTTTGGGAACAGGTGATGGAAGTCACCAGGTCAGGCGTTCAGCGAGCGAAAGCATCTTACTGTCAGAGCATTCATTGCTCTACAGAGGGCGTTGGGGGGTTATTCTTCTTTATCATGGCTACCAGGGTCCACTACCCAGCCGCGCGAAGCCTTTGGCAGAACAAGATTTCTTATTTACAACATTGCCACAATTCATTCCACTGTTGCCAGCAACTCGTCTTTGGTATCCAAACACACTTCTTGCCAACGCCATTTTCCCGTGTCATCGTTTGCTCCCCTGGTTTCACGACTCTGAATCCGAAAGGGGAAGCTTGCATGCATGTCCAATATGATGAGCCTCTGCAAACATGGCGGACTCTGTACGCCACTTGTGTTCAGAACATTTTCCCATCCTGCGGGTTGCTGACAACGACCGAGCGAGTCGTGACCTGGATGCCAGCCCGTCCCTTACCCTTGCCGTCGTCTTCGTCTTCTTCTTCTTGATAGCCTTCGCCAGCGAACCTCACAACCTTGCAGGGGGCAGCAGCAGGAGCAGCAGCTCTACCAGAGACCCAGCTGCTCCTCAGGTCATCCGGCCCGGCGCCAATAGAGACCACCGAGGAGCCGATGAAGGAGGGCGCCGAAATAATGGGACTCACCGGGCCGCCGTCATCGTGAGCACCACGACCCGGGAACGGCGACGGGCCGAAGCGATGCGGCAGCAGCGCCGCGTGGACGGAGCGCCAGTCCTTGATGGTCGTGGGCAGGGTCGTCGTTGCCTCGCCGGCGCGGAGACGGGAGAGCAGACGATTTGCGCCATCAGCGAGAGCCGCCGCCGCCGCCGCCGCCTGCTCGCTGCTCTTCCTGGCGTCAGTGTCGCTGCGGAGGTTGTCGTCTTTTGCGTTGTTTTTCTTGGCTGCTGCTGCTGCCGCTGCAGCGTTGCTTCTGCCCCTCTTGGCACGGGGCGTGGGCGACTCGTCGAGCGAGAACCGTGAGCTGAGGTGCTGGCTTGTGGTCGCTGCCTCGGGGGCCAGCGGCGGCGGCGCGGCAGCGGCAGCGGTGTCGACGTGGGCCGCCTGGTTCGCCGCAGATCCGGGACCGAGCGTGGCTGTCTCGGGGGCGACGGCCGGCGGCGGGGGGCTGACTTCGACGGCCTCGCGCCAGGGGAACCAGAAGGTTCGGAGGGTCTGGAGCTCGACGTCGCCGCCGGCCTGGGCGCGGGCTGCTCTGCGCTCGAGGCGGCAGGCCCAGAGGCCGACGGCGAGAAAGGTCAGGGGCACGAGGGCGAGGAGGACGTAGAGGGGGATGAAGTTTGCTTCGGGGATGGGGAGGAGCGGAGCGGGGTGTGGGAGGGCCGCCGTCGACGACGCCTCTGCCTGCGCCGTGAGTGTTCTGGGTACCTGCCGTTCGGGCGCCAGGTAGTTGGTCACGACGGGCATGGCGGCTCAGATCAGCGTGCTGCCCGGACAAAGAGGATGAAAGAGGCTCGAAGGAGGTGGAGAGGTGCTTGTCTCTGAGAAAAGGGCTTGGCGTGCGCAGCTGGTCGTGAGAGCGGCGCGCGAGGGGCGTATCGTCTGTGGTATTGTGCGCGAAGCTTGTGATGAAGCACCAGTTTGTGGAAAGAGGGTATAAAGGATAATCGCGAAGAATGGCGGTGGAAACACCAAACAGGGGCGATTCTGAGATGGAAGGAAGGCACGCGTTCGACGCGTCGGGACTCTGGTGTCTTGTTTCTTCACACGGGTTGCCTGCAAGTGGCTGTTATTAAAGCTCGGTTCTGAAGACTTGCGTCTTGCTTTGGTGTTGGCCACGAGGACATGGCAAGATTACATTGATTGTATTGTCACGTTGAGATGATATGGCAACCATGTTGAACACATCTGTCTCGGAGCAATGATGATGCCCCTATTCATATGCTGTCATTTCTCTCACACCTGTTACAATCATGAGGTTGCTGACATGCCAAAACAGTACAACAAGAGCGTTCAGTAACAACTGGACAACCGCTAAACTCGAGCCGAGCCGTAGTTCCCCTGGGTTGGTGGCTGTGTGTCTGTTCATTGTCTGATGCTAGGTGATTCGAGTGTTTTGAGGACAGCTTCTTGAACCACAAAGAGTGTTGAACATTGCCTTGTTCTCAACTACAGAACCAAATGACATGAATGATAGCTTTCGGTACTATATAGAACGAGCCTGCCTAACTGCAGCTGGTTAGAACATTTCCCATTGCTTCCCATTAACAAAAGACTACATCCCCTCTTCAATAGGGGAACCATTTGAGCTATACAATTCGTACTTACACGAAAGACATTCACATCACCACTCAGAGTAAGTTTCCCTTCCCACAAGGAATATGGAGGGCTACGGTTTCACACTCACCGGCGGTGCCATCTTCGGTATCGTCATCAGCGTCATCATAGTACTTGTCGCAGTCTGCGTCATCGGCTGGCACTTCCGCCAGCGGAACCACAGACTCAAGCAGGCCAAAGAGGCGAACCGCGCCAATGACACGGAGCTCGCCGTCCGCAGCACTGACACTCGTCGTCAACTCTGTGAAGTCCCTGCCCCTGCCGCATCGACCCCTGCCCAGCAAGCCTTTCAGTCACCCAGCACGTACGGCGATTTCGCGCAGCAGCAGCAGATCCACGGTGGACCCTCGGTAGAGCAGCAGAGCGCGCATGATCGCTATTTCTACCTCCGGGATCCGTATGCGCAGCCGAGCAGTCCACTTCGCCAACAACACCGGGCGAACTGTGGCGAGCGCCAGCTCACCCATCATGCGGCGCCACGCCGGCACCACGACAGGCAAGAACCGCAAGAAGCCAGTCAGACGCACCATAGCCCTCGCAACGGACAGCAGCAGCACCAGCGTCACGACGCTACACCGGTGCGCCGCCCCCGCGATGCCCAGCACCAACAGGAGCGCGTGGAGAGCAAGGGGGAGACCGGCAAGCCAGTACATGCAAGTCGGAAACCCCGTCGCGCGGGTCGTCTCGCCGATCTTGTCCGCTATGATCCGCCAACCGTCGCTCTGCCTGTTGGAGCTACCAAGCCGCAGGAGGACAAGCAGACTGAGGTGGTTCAGCCCGGCAAGCGCCGCCTGAACCGCCGAGCCTCGTCGTAGAGAGCTCGTCGCCCGAGGTACTGGCCAAACCCGTTTGCTCCTCTATGTAGGCCAGTGGTGAGTCGTCGGCAGCGTTTGTCCGGGGGCGTTGACAAGTGTGCGTTCGCATTGCCATGCGCCAGCAACATGCCAAGATGGGCAAGCGTCCAGGCAAGTTGTCGCCCGCCAGCGCCTCGATTTCTTGCAGGACAAGAAAACGCGAGCCTGGGAAGTGTTTGAAGGCGACTTAGTACCCCGGGCGTCAGCCTCGTGATGAAGAGTTGCAGCACATCCTCGTAGGTAGAAGACTATCTCGACGCCGTAGGCTTCTTCCTCATCATGGACGTGGGCAGGTGCCTGTAGCACGTGACTTCGCATTCACTTCGGACTTTGATCCTGCTCCTTGCCATACATGAATTGTCCGCTTTATTCACTGCCCTGATGACTTGGAAAGATGACTTGGAAAGATGAGGTTTGTGTGATGCGAAGCAAGAGGTTGGAGAAGTAAAAGCCGATAAAAATACTTCAGAAGCTCCTTGTGAGTGGCGTTCAACAGCATCACGAGGGGATGTATCCTGCAGCTCGATGGCAAGATGCGCATGCGAATGGAGGGACGTACATGTAGCATGAGCTACGAATTGAGGGACTAGTAAATAGAAACGTCTGAATACGAACCAGATACCTAAGGACCTGTAACAGTTGTTTTCAAACAGCAAGTGATACAGTCAGGAGCATAAGTAATGTCCTCATGTTTAATTGTGTTCCACGTTGAAATCGAGCTCCACACAGTGTTGACGCGGGAGCTTTAGATAGTATACTTTCCATACGCATTGGAATACTCATCGGAATATAGTGTTCCCCCGCTAGTTGCTTATAATAGTTGAAGAATGTCACTCGGTGGTTCCTCGTAATATAGGATAATAACCGGTGTCACCGACCTATCCTACTTCTTGATTTCGCGCCGCTTCCCTTCTGTGAACGGCGGTTCGGTGATCAATTTAATATCTAATTAATGACATGAATTGGTTGGGAAGCGACATGGATGCGCGCGCGTATTTATGTTGTAGTAGGCGCTTGAAGGATGCGGGTAGTATGGTGTATTCCTAGCGGCTTATTTCTTATGAAGAAGAATATAATGTTCCCTGATTAAACGACCTAAGACTAGTAAGCTTCTTAACGTACGCCCTTATATTTCCTGAATATCTGAAGTCGAGCGTAATATGCCTTTAGAGAAAGACCGCCTGTATGTGGCATTATACGCTCGCGGAGGGGCACCGACCATGCCCGGCCTAGAAGATACGTTCGTTGGTTTACTCTTATCCCCTCGGGACTACACACTGACCCTGTAAAGGTACTACTGGGCTTTTATAGTTGGCCCTAAGTCCGAATTAAGCACTAGCTAGGGGTTTCGCTTCTATGCTAAGGAAAGATTGAGCTTTGCTGGTATTCCACCTGTGGCTCAATCTGTATGGTAATATGAGGAGTTGGAAATTCTTATGGCGCTAAGTTCGATGCTCCTAGTCTGTATTATGGTCGGTAAGGTTAAAAATATGAGTCGGCTGCGGTCGACTTTTCAGCGTATACCGGTCCGACCTGAGGTTGAGGGTTGGAACTGCGTGGGATGGGTTAAGGAGGCACTGTTGGCTGTAATGCAGGATGGCAGGGTATTGGGGACATACGCCGGCGGATGGGAAGAAGTGAGGGACACCGCTATGTGGTATACTTAGAGTAAAAAGGAGGCCTATCGCTTCGACGGGACGGTGTACTATGACCCGGCTTAAGCGGCTACTTGGGATATGTTATCGGGGGGTGGAACTGATCCCTTGACTACGGTTTTTAGATACTAGAATTACGTTAACTCAGAGAGCACTAAAATACTTCTGCCTGACCCTCTCCATCTCCAGCTCATGTAGCATGGGCTCTAAGAACTTATCTATCTCTGCCGCCTAGAATTCATTGACAGGGTTAACATACTTGGCATAGGTGTACTCCTAGTATGGCGGTAACTATCTAGCTGTCTCCTAGTCTACAATATACATCACGTCGTCCCCCTTAACCAAGATATTCAGGCTGCTGAGATTACTATGGGTTAGAATAAGCTGAGTATCCGACTGCCTATAGAACTCCAAGAGCTCGTGCACGTTATCGGGCAGACCCGCGTAATCAGCATTCAAGTTTACGCTATTTGCAAGAGCCTCGTGGAAGTTACGGGTGGTAGCAAACGGCCCCCAGAGTAGGTTGAAAGGTAAGCGATAGTCGTAGAAAGGACCGCCGCCTACGCCACCGATACGTGCCCCAGCGGGAGGGGGTATAGAGCGGAGTTCGGTAACCATCTAACGGAGTTGGGCAAGAACTATCGATTTCGACTCTTCGGTGCGCGTTTGCTAACCATACTATGCTATTTTACCACGCATCTTGCTCATCATAAGATAGGTAGCACCTTGATGAATAAAGGCGTAGTATACGTTCGGGACGGGAATAGAGGTGTGCCGGGTAATAAATCGCATGGCGTTTGCTTCGGCTAGGCTTGTAACTGGCTTAACCTTGATGTATATGTTGAATATGGACATTAAACTAGGAGAGGGTTTCCTTAACTACTGAAGATACTTGTGGGTTTTTGCTTTAACGAAGAGGATAACGAGAAGTCGATTGATAAGCCCGGCGTTGATAGCTTCCGTGTTAGGCGACATGTCGGCAGGCAGAAAACTGTCTTAAAGTTAGGCCGCAATTCAATTTGCCTAACAGTGACATTGCTGCCGGTATTAGCGAACTTGCCTGTGCGATTGTTCTTGTTAGACTGACTTGGCATCGCATCGCGCCGACAGAGAGGAGAGGCGAGGCGAGGCCCAGCCGGCTGGGGGTGTGTGAAGTGTGTTCGCTGATGTCTGGAGACTCGAGATGCTCGGTGTCAGGAGAGAGGCGCGCTGCGGACAAGCTGGAGAGGTAGAATTGACCACAATCTTGCAGGCTTAGGCCACGATGGCATCTATGTCATCACAGGGGGAACCTCTTTTAGTGTTGTTGTTGCAACTTGCAACTGGCCGGGCAATGGGGAACAGAGATGGTCCACAATTAGTCAATCGAAGTGACTAAGCAGCCCGGTCCATACATCGGAATATGGTACTTCCGTCATCTGCCACAACAGCGATGTGTGCAGCTCTCCAACATACTCACTCCAACAACGTTCGGAAATGGCACCCCAACTCTCAAAAATACAACGAACGGAGCTCCAAGAAGTCATCCTCAGTAAGCTACAGGGCTATGAAACCATTACCAATAAAGAAATAGCGACGAACATCCTATGCTCCGCCCGAGCTATTCGAAGGGCTCGGGCAG